CGCCGTTACTTTTTTGTACCGCTTGCAAACCAAGCATCTCAGGTCTCAAAACAGTAAAATCAAATGCTTTTCGTTTAAATATATATGCTCTATTTGAAATATTTTGGGTTTACATGAGTGCTAATTTAATTCGTAAACCAAGGGCGTAGTGTGAACTGCGAATACCCGGCATTATTTCGCTCAGGCGTAGTCTTAATGTAACGTATAAAACACCTGACTGTTCCGCATTTGAAATTCATCTTCATTTTCTGTCAGTCTGTGATACGGAATCCATTGTGGATCTTGAAAACTTGGAGCATCCTCTTTCAGATAGTATGTTGCTGACGCCGATTTATCTCTAGAAAATAGGATTGTCAGTAACCCATGAATGCACAGACACATGGGCAGATAGTCTAACTCATTCAGCACCAGTGGTCTCTCTGCTTGACAAATAAAATTGTCTGGCATTTGATAGAATAAACTAATCTGGCGTTAGACAGAGAAAATAACAAAGTAGGGCACATTAGGGTGCAATGCAACTTTGGGGCTGTTCATGTGGAGCTGGGCTGGCCCAGTTAACCGGGATGGTCTGGTTAGCTGGGATGGCCTGGTTAACTGGGATGGCCTGGTTAACTAGGATGGCCTGGTTAACTGGGATGGCCTGGTTAACTGGGATGGCCTGGTTAACTGGGATGGCCTGGTTAACCGGGATGGCCTGGTTAACCGGGATGACCTGGTTAACTAGGATGGCCTGGTTAACTGGGATGGCCTGGTTAACTGGGATGGCCTGGTTAACTGGGATGGCCTGGTTAACCGGGATGGCCTGGTTAACCGGGATGACCTGGTTAACTGGGATGGCCTGGTTAACTGGGATGGCCTGGTTAACTGGGATGGCCTGGTTAACCGGGATGGCCTGGTTAACTGGGATGGCCTGGTTAACTGGGATGGCCTGGTTAATTAACTGGGATGGCCTGGTTAACCGGGATGGCCTGGTTAACTGGGATGGCCTGGTTAACTGGGATGGCCTGGTTAACTGGGATGGCCTGGTTAACTGGGATGGCCTGGTTAACTGGGATGGCCTGGTTAACTGGGATGGCCTGTAACATGCAGTTCATTCAAACAGTCTTTTATGGTGACAGGAAAAACTTGTCATGAACAATTTACCCCAGCTAGCTCATATGATTGAACAGCCCATTAATGGGTTAAAAACGTACAAATTGTTACAAATACCAACCTGTGTTCCACGGCAGCCACAACATAACCATAAGAAGCTAACTCCAAACAGAAACTGCTGTAAACACACCGGCTGCCTCCCAAACCATGTGAAAATACAACACATGGAAATTTTTGAAAATTATTTTGGGTACTATCTGTTTCATTAGATGAGCTAGGTGAATACAGTGAGGCATTCCAGTAACAGTCCAACCGAGCACTCCCTTTTGAAAAAAGAATCACAATTACTGTGGATTACTATCACATCAGTGTCTAATTCCTACACAGTAGTGTATAGGAATTAGATATCTAAAGTTAAGAGGGCTGAGCACTAGGGGGCATCCAGGAGCATGCTCCCCAGGAAACATTGAGGCTTGTTAATGCCATTTTCGAAACTCTCTTTGTCACAAATCTGAACAAAAATGCTGCACGTCAGTGCACTAGTTAGGAACATGGTGGCTGGATATGCCAACATCAAAGGTTCTTTCTGACCAGGAGTAACAAATCATAATCTCTTAAGGACATGGCAATTGCTAGATAGTATACTTCAAAATAAGATTTCCGTTTTTATTCTATTTTTAAAATAAGTTAGGGTTAGGTTAGGGTTTAGGTTAGGGTTAGGTTGGGGTTAGGGTTAGGTTTAGTATTAGGGTTAGGGTTTAGTTTTGCGTTAGGATAGTTTTTTCTACGTTATAAAACCGGAAACCTTATTTTGAAGTATACTATCTAGCAATCACCGAAATAAACACGCATGTCTGGATATCAGATTTGGCTTCAAGAAATTGCCAGTTAAAAATTTATCTGAAGGCAGCGTTCCAGTTTATATATTCATTCCAATGATGTCACTATCTGTCTATATATAAATACTGTAAATATATGTTTATATGATCTAACCTAACAGCCAATAAAATGCATTTCCCAGAAGCCAAGAGGGTAGCTTGGCATATTTAATCATTCCAACAGCATATTCTTTATGTGGGAGCCAAAATGGCTTTTTTGTTTCACAACTGTCGACATGTATATTTTGATCGTGGTCGTCACTGGGATAAAATAATCTGACAAAACCACCTTTGACACCACTACCCCACATATAGTCTGCACAGCCAACTGAAAATCCGCCATTTGTCTTACGAATGCAACCAGCTTGTAAACTTGAAAACATAATTTCGAAATAATGTCTTTACTCTTTACTGTATGGGTTTGTTGTTTATTTTGGTTTTAGAAAAGACTTCTTGTACTTTATGTAAAAAACGTGTGTTCCATTGTCTCTGATCCACTATATGCGAATAACATGACGTAGCCATTCGGACAATGTGACAAATACGGGATAAGCGGCTTACTTAGGGGGTAATCTGGGATTAGGATTTAGGTAATCCTATGGATATTTTGGATCGAAATTGTCGATTGTCGAATGACTGGAATTAGAATGGGTGTCAAAATGGTTTTACTGCGAAGATTGGCATGTTTCTCCATCCGTTTTACAGCAAGAAAAGTTGTAAAAGCAATATAACGATCAGGAAATAAACAGAAACATCGACTATTTCATGCAAGTCCTAAACATTTCATAATGGAAGCTTACAAAGTAACAGTGGACGATTTATTTCTGCCAACAATATTTGTGATATTTATTTCAAGCTTATCCAGTGTGTGTGTTGTCAATTATTACTCGAAACCGTCTGAAACTACCATTAAATGGAAAGCTAGAAGGGTGTGTTTATATCTATTGTCGGCAATTTCCTTTATTCTGCAACTAAAAGTCAGTTGGATGCTGGATTTTTTACATCAAATTGAGTTGGCAGCTGAACCTCTACTATGGCAAAGACTTCTGGGGGATTTTATATTGGTAAGTTGTTAGGTCAGGGTTTTTTTGTCTTTATGATTGGGTTCTGACCAAGAGGACAGGAAGTGAACCTGCGGCCCTGTGATTCTGGTGTAGTGGTCTAACCAACTGAGCTACAGAGTTCAGATGTTGACAGGGACCAGGCCCCAGGGGTGCAAGGGTGCACATTCAACAAATTGCTGGGGGTTGTTCAGATGAACTGGGACCGGCTTTCTTGTACTCTACAACCATTGGCAGTGGAACAAGTTCTAGCTAAGTTAGGAACCATAGTTAAGATTTTCAGCCAAGTGCAAACACGGCATGCAAAACTGTATTAAACAGAGTTGCATAAATAGGAGTGGTCAAAACTAGAGATGTCTGGAGGCGTGCTCCCCCGGGAAAAATTGAGGCTCAGGAATGCAGGGTTTTTTCAGGGATTTTTTAGGACACGTAAAACGGCCCCAAAAACTCAATCTTGAATTGAATTTTGAAACTCAATCTTCTCACCAAAAGATTCAGTGCAGTAAAAATGAAGTTGTTTGAGTTAAATTTGTGACATGTACAAATTGGTTTTCAGTTGGAAACCCGACAATCAAGAAAAAATTGCTGGAATTCATTTCACAACACAAGAAAAACAATGCATTCGCCATTTTTAACCAGTTTATAGTGTCTGCTTTAACACATTGTGTCTCAACTACACTTATTGGGTACAGGTGTCAGCCTCCCGCAACTGGCCCAGACCCCCAGCTGTTCAGCTAAACTCATAATTTTTTTGTACAATCATATGTATCCATATATTTTCACATCACTTCTGGTAGCTTTAACAGACCATGAAGGTGAAATTTTGTCTCTAAAATATATTGCATTTTGTCTTAAAATATACTGAATGTCAAAACTATGTAAAATTTCTAATAGCTGTATGTGCACTTTAAAGGGTTAATACTTCATCTTGGATATTTTGGATCTTTGACCCTCCACCATCAAAATATCCGTCAAAATTTTTGTTTATTTTGTCATTCCGCTGATATGGCGATTTCTTTGACGACTGCAATATATTTCTGAATAGTTTGAGTGAATTGCTCCTTATTATTAAAATATCCAAAATTAGAACAAAGCCGAACACTATTTTGAAACTGACGTCTTTAGCTATGTCCTGTGAAAATTTGAGAAAAATTCGTTAAAACCCGCAGGAGAACAACTCGTTTGAAAATCAGTAATTGCCATAAAATATTTCGGGAGAAAATTGAATTTGAATATTACATTTTCAATGTTTTTCTTATTGCAGCGAAATGTATTTTATTAAATAACTCTGCGAGTTTTCAACATTTTTTGTTCAAACTTGGTCAGATAGTAGGACTAGTCTAATGTTTTCATGCAAACCAATAAAAAAATTTAGACAAAATTAACACTCAAAGGTGTTCTGTAACCTTAAATGCAACCTTTTCTTAGGCACACAAATTGACACTTGATACAACTGAAAATTACTGGATAACCTCGCAATTGTTGCTATTCACGCTTTCATTTGTCGCATTCGTGAACATGTATAGCAAGAAAATGGAGCTGCGATTTCACCAGATCCTTGGCTACCTGGTACTTGGACTGACTGGATCCTATGGTGGAGTCTTAGCTTTGTTTTTAGTTCATTTTTACAATGCTGGCTCGATATCGCCTCTCGTGGCTAAACTAACTACGGGTCAGTTTTTCGCACAAGGAATTTCAACCATCCTTGGCTGTGCTGCTGTTGTATTCCTTTATGATGCATCTGTTCCTCAAGTAAAAGTAACCCTGCTTCCATTTTTTCTCACAACCTTCTTACTGCCTTTTGCCTTATTTCCATTCCAAGAAAAGAACTCGAAAGCTGGTGCAACAACCGCCCTTTTGTATTTCCTATTTTCCCTTAGTGTGTTTATGATGCTTCATCATTTCTTTATGACTTACATGGTAGCTTTGGAATGGTCAAATTTTAAAACTATCATCCTGGTGGGTTTTGGTTACCCCTACCAATATGCTGTATCGGTTGACCTTATATGCTGTATAGTGATATCGTCCGTATTTGTGCAAATGGAACTTCACGAATTAAATAAACTGCAGTTGGGATTTGAATATCCTTACCTAAACACTATCCTAAAAGTTCTGCTGTTATTTCCATGTATAGTTGTAGTGACGTTTATTATTTCACCTGGGGCGATGTTGCTATTCTTTCTTGCGTATCGAGAAATTACTACTGTTTTACCTAGTCTTGGATCTAGTAGTATAGGTACACTCTAAAAACACTGTGGTTAAAATTTTCCTAGAAATACAGTAACCATTTTTGGGTTGACTTAATATTCCTGGTCATTTTAACCTTAATAGACCTTATGCATAATGACGTCATGCCCGCGAGGAATGCTGGTTTTAACAGTGAACTCAATCTATCTATTTATCATTCCAGATAAAAGACATGGAGTTCACTGGGTTTTAATAGTCATTGCCCGGGAAAATTAAACAATTCAAAATGGCCACTATCAAAATTTTCCAGGTCAATGACTACTAAGACCAGCATTCCTCGCGGGCATCAAGCCATGTGACGTCATTATGCATAAGGTCTATTTGTCCAGAACGTCCTGGTTATGTATCCACCTAACATAGTCCGGTTATTTTAACAAGGACGTGACTACATTAACCAGACTATGGTAGGAAGTGAGAAAAAATCCAGGAAATGTAACCGTGTTGACACTGAGTTATATCAACACGGCTCTCAGCCAATCAGCAGTCAGAATTTACAAATGCTATATTATAAAGTGCAATAAATAATAATTTAGGCAATAGATAATAAAATTATCTTAGTAAGATCATAATCAATAATATTACCTCAGTTAAATTATAGACAATAAAATTCTAATACTAAAATTATAAAAAATAGGCAATAAAATTATGTCAGCAAAATTGTTACGATTTGTTCGAGCACGCGAAATTCCACTTGCTCTCGAAGTATTAATGCGCCGATCAAAACGAAGGTTAACCCCGGGCACGAGAGGGGCATCTGCCATTTGTGATTCTCCCTAGGCATTTTCAACGACACAAACGTCTTCTCAATGCTTCAACAATTTTTTCTTTATAAACAAAAGCGTGTTCATCCGGGATGCGTTGGTTACGTTTTACATCGTCAACTGTCGATGCCGCTACTGGATTAGGTCCACCACTGAACAGTCGATAATGGTGCAGCAAACCATAATCTGGAGGCACAACATAAGTTTTAATATGGTCTCCAACGTGCTCAAATATTTCGTGTACGCCGATAGTAGACTTATACAAAGGTCTCAGTATGTATTTCGACTTTTCTTTGGGAGGGTGAACCTTTCGTAAACGAATTACGCTGGTTAAGAACTTGGGTAATTCCACGCGATACGATGCATTGCAAGTAAATTCGGTTTGACTTGCACTTACATGTAAGCTATCTAATGTGGTGTTATTATAGTTTTCGAAAAAGTATGAATGTCTAAATAAATAGGTATCATATTTGAAATTCTCGATTTTTTTCATCATGTCGGCCCATCCTATTGATTTCCTTGGGACAATGAATTCGTCTAAGTCAGTGTACACTAAGTATTTCACTCTGTACATATTTCGATAGGCACATTCGTTGATGCTCAGCGTCTGACCGAAGTAATGTGTGTTGTCTCCAGGCAAACCTCTTCCCCAATTCTGGACGACATCTACCAATCCTTCACCGGCATATTTGTGGAGTACCTAAAGAGGTAAAGTGACCACCACATTACATGCCAGTTGCAATTTCGTTGCCCGGAAAGGAGGTTACATGTGCGATTTTTTCTCGCAACGGGTCAAATTTCATTGGAATAAAACCAATGAGATTACTCAGATTTCCTTTCTTTGTAGATTTCTCGCATCCAGAATCTCTTTTTGTTCTTTTCTCTTCTTAATATTCGCCTTAAAATAATCAACTTTTAAGAAGTCTTCTCCGACTTAGGGCCGCCACATTACTTTTGTTTTTCTTGCACATTCCGCCAGTGGAAAGTGTTATCTATTTGAATTATTTCACTATTTGTTAAAATATAGTAACATACCTGTAGCGACGCTTGGTCAGAGGTGTAGACGTAAATTGTAAACCATTCTGCGCCAAGGACTTTGTTGATTTCGATGTTTTGTATGATCGTCTGTGCTTTCACAGGACCAAATAATGGGGAATCAATGCAAACTCCGAATGTTTTCGTGGAGTACACCGGACGCGTGATTGGGATTTCAGCTTCTGTTTTGCCTAAGGGAAGAAAATGCGCGCGGTGCAAAAATGTTAGTTAATTAAGACCTGGCCAAGCAAGGTTGAGAGTTGCAACTCTTGCACTGTCATCGACTCTCATCAACTTTGAGCTGGTTGAAATTTCGATGAGAGTTGATGTCATTGAGAGTTGACGAGAGTTTTTGCTTGTTTCACCGGTAACATCTATAGTCAACACTCTAAAAACACCTTCCTTCGCTGGTTAAACCTTTCCTGGTTAACCTACAAATAACTAAGCCCTCTGGTACGAATCGAACCTGTGATTCCGGTGCAGCGCTACTGAGCTACAGAATCCAGTTGTTGAGGTCTAACCACAAGTTCTTCTTTTATAATTATATTTAGTTGAATCATGCTAGCTCGTAATGTAATTGTTAAATAGTGTGATGCTTGTGATGTTACTCTTGAGTGTATATCCACACAGGACGAGCTTGAAAAATATGCCTGGCCACGGTGGGAATCGAACCTACAACCTTTGGAATACTAGCCCAATGCTCTGCCGACTGAGCTATACGTGGTCAGGTCGGTTCGAGTATGTGATATTTCGGAACTCTTAAATAGTACGTGGTTGATGCCAGCATAACGTAAAAAAATGCATCTATAGGTCCTGTGGCAGGAATCGAATGATGGTCTGTGCTGTCACGGGTCTGTTTGATTTCTGCAAGAGAAGCTATAGTTGCATTTTTCGCAGTTGTTCCTGGTTACAACACATATCGCCACTCATGCTGTACAGATGACAAATTCTTTCTAGGACTCGGGTATGATATAATATATTTCCACTGACAATGAATAACTTGCATTATACCTGTCGTAGGATGATATTGTTGAACTATGATCGACCTCGAGTACCTTGCATCAATAACCTCAACTGGTAACAGCCACAAATACGCATATGGACCCAGTTTCCCTAGGGTGTAATGTCCGGTAGGGTTTAACTTCTTCCTATCTCCATACTTCCCAAGGTAAATCTTTGCACCACTGAGAAGCAACAAAGTACCATAAAGAGGAGATTCTGATTTTTCACCAAATCCCATGACAGTTATTAGTGGTGAGCATGGTTCACGGTCATCCAGGTAAGCTGTAAAAATATATGTTGCCAAACCAAGTTTTCTCCACTGACTATTTGTGTCTATTACTCCAGATTCATTGAACTTTATACTAGAGTCGTCAATACAATGCCGGTAGTTAACTCTACTAAGTGTTGCAGAGTTTAAAATCATGACACCAATACCAAACGCAACAAGGGATGTAAAAAAATATTTAAGAAGCTGAATTCTCATCATGTTTTGCGTTTGATGCTCAATATATCATTGTTGTTTCTTGTGGTACATGATTATTTTAGCCAACATCGATATAGGACAGACTTCATGACATTCAATCAGGTTTCTTTCTTCCTCTGCCTGTAATAAGGGGACATAATTTAATTTTTGGCTGGTTTTTATGATAATTAATGAGCTGGCCAAGACCAGCTAATGCATGGTAAGCCAGATAGTCTAAACCAAAGAGGCTGGTAAAGGCGATAGTGCATTAGTGCTTCACCTGAAGTGGGCTTGCCCAGCTAGCAAAAAATTCCTGCGTGATACCGCGTGGCAAAAAGTCACCTTGGAAAACTGGAGGAGGGGTCTGTGTCAGCTTATTTCCACTTTATGCGTTAAGCTGGGGGAGAAATCCCAATGTGATTTTGATCGGAAATTTTGCATTTAGATGATTCTACAGGGTGTATCAAAAAAATGTACAACCCTTTCGAATTCAAATTAGCCATAACCTTTTAAATATTCGTTGCTCTGCAGTAAGCTGGCCCAGTTTATATCTTATGCAGACTTAAATAATGCTTTATTTAAACATTTTTCTTTGAGTTGTGTATTTGTTCATACAAATAGAAGTTATCCTGAATTCCCATGTGCAGAAGACCTTGTGTTTTCACGCATCCCTTTATATCGAGAAATTATACGGCTGTCAAATTACTACAATAGATTAGGGACCGTTCATTATTTATACCCGGGGTTGGTCCGAAGAGATATGGGTTGGGTAATCAAGTTTTTGACTAGCTCTTGGGTTGGGTAAAAAAAATTATGGCTGTCTGTCAGCTATAAAATAAACCAAAATTACCATACATTGCTATTGGAAAATATGAAGAAAAATGTGTGCAATGCATTTTCTACCAAAATAGACCATCAGTGATTGAGGAAGGAATCTATTATTGATCAGCAGGAACGTGATTGCTTTGGCACACTCAGTGAGTTTGAGTACGAGCAGGGATGCCGGAACCACGGGTGCAGCGAGTGCAGTTGCACCCGTTGCCTTTTGTCTTCACAACTTTACGGGTGCAGAATACGGGTGCAACGGGTGCACAAAGTGCCCTTTTTGCGTGAAAAATTTTCATTAAAAATTGCATTTTTTGCGCAAAGGGCATTTTTGAAAAATTCAATCTATGTTATTTCCGGGAAAATGTTTTAATTTCCGGAAAAAATAACATTTTCCGGAAAAATTTTCGGTATGTCCGGAAAATTTATTTCGTATTTAGGCAAAATTGTGGTATGTCCGGAAAATTTTTTTTACCCCTAAAATGGTACACTGACCAAAAAATTTTTGGCGACGGGGGAGGGGAGGTCGCCAAAAATAATTTTTAGATGCCCTTTCGTTTTCATTAGTGCCCTTTTGTTAAGGAATATGCCCTCTTGTTAACCAATTGCACCCCTTGCCCCCAGCAACTTCCGGCATCCCTGAGTACGAGTGAGCTTTTAGAATTTAGGCAGCTTGATTTCTGTCACCATAATCTTATGTGTTTAATTATTATGAAGTACAGTAAACATGGGTTGGGTAAACATTATTTTGACCAATGTTGAGGTTGGGTAAATAAAAAATGTACACTGTTTTACGCTTTCTTCGGTACCAACCCCGGGGATAAATAATGAACGATCCCTTACGGTTAATTTGAATTTGAAAAGGTGTACATTTTTTTATACACCCTGGGGCCGGTTGTATAAAAACTCTTAAGAGGCAGTCTCTGTAAAAGCGGTCCACTGCATTTCGGATCAGAAAATAGTTTTCTCCCAAACTTTTACCGTGAAATAGCACATACCAGTGAGTTATGAAACTGACTTTGGTTTTTCAATTTTCATAAAAATAATTTTTTTACAGCGCTTTAGCTCCAAGCGACCGTGTTAGCTGAATTTGCACTTTTCGTCGTCTGAAAATTACACATATTTAAAACATTACAGCTCACGGAATATAGAACTTTGCACCATGATCTTTTTTCTCCGTCTTGTTCATTCATTTAAGTGCAAAATTCAAGCGAAATTTTGAATGTTGAGAGAAATGCGGGGGGAGGAAAAAATACGCAATGATACTCGTTTTACGTCCTTCTTAAAATCACGACAAACTGACCCTCAGAAAATAGCTTTGATCTCCTAAGTCCAGCACTAAAAACCTAAAGCTTCTATTCCAATCTACTAATCTAAGGATGTATAAAAAGGATTGATAAAAACATTTTGCGCTTTTTATTTAGATTCCGCACAACAACCTCGAACTTTCTGTGTTTTTAATGCAAATTACAGTTAGTTAGGCGGTAAATATAAACTGTAATGAAAGACCGTTATTTGCTTCAATTTTTATTGCATTCGGATTTAAAGCAGTAAATTTTTCTTATTTTCGAATTTAAAGTCCAAGAAATTTACTACTAAATAAATGGTGCCGGACGGCTTTGCTAGCTGAAGTGTTTTATTGTTTGTGCAAAATACTTGACTGTTTATTATGCAAGCTTAATATTTT